AGAGTGAATACAACACGTCTGAAAAGAATGAGAATTCATCTAAAGCAGTTTGAAGTGAGCGTGACAGAGACAATAGCTCTTCATGCAATCTAGTCGATTGCAGTAATGATGATCATTGACTCAATTGTAGCTAATAATTAATCGACGCAGCGGTCAATTGCCGGCGGTACATTGAATATAGTTAGCTGTATGATGTACCTTCGCAAATGCAGTTAGTTTTCTAGAATTACGAATCTCCTCCAATGAATTATGGTGTCTTCGAGCAAAATTGAGCGTCCGGATCACCTGAATATCATGTTATCTATATTCGCATAACCAAAAGATCTCTTCGAAGAGGACATAACAAATAAAGAACCAATCCATAAACTAGGTTCAATGATTCTGCTCGGTTTACACACTACGAACGATTCTATGTCAATGCATCAGAAATCAACAAAAGAATGATTGTAAATTTTGGTCACATATTCAATTCAGTTTGCAATTACTGATCAGTTGTCGCATGTCGAATTTTCATGCGTTTGGTGCAGTTGCACTGCATTGTGCTCTAATTCATTCGAAATTTAATCTTTCTCTTTTGCAAGCAACGAAATTAGTGTACGCAGCGAACGTTACATTAAAACTTTGAACAAAATGTCATTTCATGAATATTTTTTATACGTTCAACAAATGACAAAATTTTTGAGACTTTAAAGTGCATATGTTAATCGCTGAAAATGGCATGAAACTAAGTGTTCGTGTTTGCATTTGCAATAAAAGAATTGTACTTTTGAGCGATGCCAATTAGTATCTAGTTCATCCATCATCCACAATGCGAGTCTCCAGTGCTCGGCATTCTTTGCTCCAATCCTAGTTTTTACTTTCTGCACCAATCAAGTAGGCATAGTAGGCTGGAAAAAAGTTGCCATTAGCAAAGTAACACCTATGAAAGATTTTGAGGATCCCGCTGAATTCACATCAGGCTTTATGAGGACTAAAACTATTCGAAGACCACTTCAGTGTATCATTTATTACCATCTGTCGTGCAGTTGAGATTACAGATGACTAGTGATACTCCGGAAACCAGAAAAAAATTATTTTGGCTACATTTTAAAAAAATTCGCAGAAAGCTCGATAGCCAGAGCTAAGACCGACCGCTACGATGGTTTTACTTGTTGAGCCGGAGCAGAGCAAGGCAAATTTCGAAACTGGAGTCGAAGTTTGAAAAATACGGAGCTGGAGCCCAATCTGATTCAATTTTTTATTTCAAATTAGGCATTACAGTCGATGTCATGTGTGCGATTTGAGCACGACTTGTATTTTGCAGATAGATATCAACCGATAATGCACGGCTATTTTATTCTTTCAATACTGTTCCTGGCTGTAATATCAGGTACCATGTTCATACCAAAACATTTATTTAATATCGGAGAACTCAAGCACTGTAATAAATGCCTATTCAAAACCTATGTCTTACGGCTTCTCATTTCGTCAGAATTGTCGATTCCTTCAAACTTTCAACATAAGATCTGAAATAAGCGTTATTTCATGGAAACATGGAATGGACCAAAATTTCGTGTACTCGACTGCGCATAATTGTTCGTGAATATTTGTAGGATGCTCTGCAGTGAGCAAACTGAATGTTACCAAACAATGCCAGCATGTTTATACGTCGCCATTTCTCTTCGGCCAAGGAAACGCTCCATTAAGTAAAATGGGCTTANAGCAATGTGTGAAGAGTGGAAAAATAACTGCATGCCCGAATCGAGTGCGCGTTCTATTTCAAATTCATTCGTCCCTGACAGTGTGGCGTCGTGTATTTCTGCAGGTCATTTATAATTGCAGATCATATCGTCTCAAATTCTCTGCGTTTTAAGTAGTGTTCGTCGGGGAACGGGGTCCCCGTCGAGGACCCCGGCGGGGAACGCGGGGAGCGCTCCCCCCCGCACAATTTGCTCCCCGACTTTTTTGCGGGGACCCCCCAGTCCAATTTACTCCCCGCGAGGACCCACCCCCCGTGCAAAAAATTGCTCCCCGACGAACACTAGTTTTAAGTAATACTGAATTCTTCTCATTGTTCTGAGCGAAGAGCAAACGAATCTGACATCGAAAAGCTTTATTGTCTATTCATCACTTCGGTTCACCGATTGTCAAGAATTTCTTGAACATGCTTTTGAGAATACCTATTCAGAAATAGCAGCCGCCTTAGGCAACAAGGCGTTCTCGAATCAAGCGTCAAGAATAGAATCGGATTGTGCACAAAAATTATCATCACCTTTGCTGCTTGGCTTAAGATCGCGTGCGATGACAAAACGAGTCAGAGACTGTGTTGCAGCTGGTCGGTACTTGTTGATCTTCTGAACAGATCTTTTCCAGTGGCTAATTACTTCAGTTCTCCACGAAAGAGTTATTGAGCAAAACATTTCAACGCTTCCCTCATCAATCATTTTGCATTCGAACATTCTCTGTTACACTGCTGGAAATGCCAATTTGACCAAGATTTTCATTGCTCCAGGAGGCATATTACCATTCTGTAGTTCACGCCATGGAGACAAGAACTGTACGAAATGGTTCGAGCAATGCTCTAAAACATATGAATTCAACGTAACCGTGACAAAGAATGGAACTTATAAACGTCTTCCTCGCTGGTTAGCTAGCTGCATTCTGACAAGTGAGTGATTATCAGGACGATTTGACTGATTTTTCAATTGATTTAAAAATCTGACACTTCTCACTGATCACATGCAAGTGCTTTGATCTTTTCACTTGTTCAATCTCATTGAATGACTAGTTTATCAAGTGCATTTCAACCGATAACAAGTGTTTCGAATATTTCAGATGTTGTTGCCAGATTTAGTTCACAACAAAACATAAAAGACTTACACTTATAAGCAAAAATAACATGAAGATTTTCGATGATAAAAATCAACTGTTTCTTGATGCAATCAATCATTTTGCAGAGGATGTTCGAACTGAATGCTTGAAGCGAATGAACAAAACAAAATGCGACGAGCTCGAGAACCGATGTGCTGGCGATGTGTTCGACCCAGACCTGCTGAATGCCGATCAGCTTCTGTGCATTTATGGCGAATGATAAAGTGATTCAATGTATCGCTTCAAACGAACAACAACAAACATCCCCATACGAACTCATTCTNATATTACTCGCTAACAGTTCATCGAACGATAAATTTTCTCGCATCGTACTCGCTCAGCTGATCGCAACACAATTCTTATCTGACATGTTTCACTCCGAAATCGAGATTCCTGTACTCAACTCCATGAAATCTGTTCGTGGAAATGATCCATCTGCTGAATTCACGAAAAAAACTGACAGAACTTATGAGTCTCACCTTAAAAGAAACCCTTCTTGGTGAAGTTACCTCAGCGCTAGTATCCTAAGCCAATTATAGCCATTTGCTTTTTCTTTGTTTTTTTTTTGAAAACGCTTGAACCATCATAGTATTTATTGTAGAATATTCAGTGAACTCAGATACATCCGCTTAGAATCAGTGTAAACGTGTGGAAAATTTCATGAATCGAGTATCAGTGGCTTTAGGGTATCAGAGTGGTTTATCATCGTAGATACACTTGAGCTGAGCCGATGTGATAATCTCGATCACTCGGTCATTTCTCATCAGCAACGCATCGGACACTTCACAATTCTGCAGCACCTTCCTGCATTTGTTTTCTCCCAACAGTCTCTCGCATTCGTCAAGAATGTCATCTGCAAATGTCCGTCAAAAAGCGCTTAGAATTTGGAACTCATAAAAGAATAATACCACAACAAAGCATCTCTTTATAAACAGTGATCAAGCTCATTTTGTCAAAATGCACTCAATAAGAAAATGTCTCAAAAACACTCACAATCAGCACTATTGAATCTACTAAAGGCAACTATAACTGCCTATCTATCTTACTGTGGTGCACTTGAAATTTGATAATGAATCATTTGTTCCCTGGAATTATCACCTCAGATTTTCACTTCTTACCTGACCTTAGCGAATTGTGATTTCTGCACTCTTGTTTGGGTATTCTCAGTATATTCGATCGCAAAACGTTGAATTAATATCTTCAATCTCCCCCACTCATACAATGGGTGATGATACGGCATTTCGCAAAAAATCGCACACTTAAGAATGCGGATCTACAAACTTAAGTATTGGCTAAAGGACTGACTGCGTCTTGTTATGAAAATGCATGACAGAAACGATTGATAATAGTGATTCACTTGTAATAAGGTAATCAACTACAGCCTTCTCGAGTGCTTTATATGCTCTATTTTTGACGAACGCTCGACTCTCCGGACTTGACCAAGGACATTTTCGGACGAGATCATCGCAGCGCTTTTTTGGATGACGTGAATAGCAGAAGCCAAGAACACCGCCTGGAAACAATGAGTGTTCACTGAGATGTTCAAACAATCTATTCAATTCAGCCAATTTTCAGGGACGTAAGTCTTGTGTGGTTGTTCATTAGAATGATCTAAAAATTCCACGCTCTTCAGTTCCCGTGCATTCTTCCAATGAAAAAATTTCTGTTATGAACCTTCAGCTACACAGTCTCGCACTCGTGTTGTCATCACATGTGCATGTGTGCCGAGCATCAGNAGAAATCGCCTCGTTTTCTAAAACTTATTCTCTTCAATTTCACACAAAATTTTATGGCAAATGCCGAATGTTTGTTATATAAATTAAAAGCATCTCTCAACTTGGAACACATCTATAATCAATCGGATTTACTTATACGACATATCAATCTATTCATGATGGAATGAAATCATTGAATTGAGAGAACTATCACTGATTATGAATGAATGTTATTAATGGATAGGATGATTTTTTATGCCATGAGTCAGTACGTTACCCATTGATATGCAAAGTGCGAGATGATCATCAACGTTGTTTTGATTCGAATAGTCAACGTTTTGCTCGCATTTTGATTTCCATTTCGCGCACTTTTCCTTATCGTACAACGACTCACAATACGCTTGAAAACCACCTTCAAAACGGTTTAGAGGGTAGATTTCTGAACGATTAATCGAAATATTTCTTCACCGCTATCCTTAATGATTGAACGTATTGTTAGTGAATTATTATGTTGTAAATCACTGCACACAGATTCATTTGCGCTAATTTCTTTGGCGTAAATACGATCAAAGAAACATGCCTTTTAAAATACAGTCTATGCCATCTCTGGTCAGTCCGATGCTGGCCATATGAAATTTCAAAGACGGCTGAAAAACAAACCAACACTGCTGGTACTTTGAGAGGGATTCTTCTGAAAATCATTTAATCGTTACATCAACTGGTTCAGTGAATGAATTAGGGTAACTGACTCCGCTCTTATCTGAAGTCTGGGCTCATATTCATCAGCGGATTGCCTCAATACGTTATTGAAGTTAGTGAAACATTACTGGAAAAGTAAGTGAATATGATACAAGAGAATAGATCAATACCAGTTTCTGAGTCATGCCCACTGATGAGATGAATGAATGCTAGAAGAATGCAGAATCGCATTGTTCGATAATTTCTTCTAAAAACATCTAATAACTGTTCAGATCGTCGCTCTCGTCAACAATTATTCCAGTTCTATCACAAAGCTTTATACGATATCGAAAATGATTGATTCGAGATAAACAAAACATTAGCAAAGCATTATACTTAATGATATAGACAGCTAAGAGGCTCTCTTAAGATCGCGGGGATAATTTGCAATTTGTTGGCGGTTGGTTGCACAGTGAATCCAAAGGACTGTCTTCGTTCACATAAACAGTGTAAAGCTGCTGAAAATGATAAGCGGCTTTATACAGATCACGTGAATGATAACAGTGCTGACTGCATACCGAGTGGATCTTGGGAGAGGTGCGACGACATTTTAACAGTTCTTTTCAGGGGTACAAGGACAAAATTAAAATTATCTAGGGAGGGGAGGGGAGAGAAGACGAAAAAGTTGAGAGCCACTGCTTTGGAAGCTATTCAACTGACTAAATTGACTGTTTTCAGCTTCAAACACTCGGAAACTGTATGAATTACAAGCTTCATCTCCAAGAGTGAAACCAAAAAACAAAGCTGTCGATAAATGGGTTTATGAATAACGACGGTTCCATTGTTGTTGAAGAATACGTCGTTGGTAATGGAAACCGAAGAAAATCACAAATCAAGACGAGCCTTTTGAAGTGAATCAATAGCAGGAGAATTGTTGGTCACAAATGAAATCGCTACTGAGCGATACACATAGATAGTTGGTTGAGCGGTGTTCTTGAATAACACGGACTTTGTTGCTGTTGATTACATTGGATTTACATATTGAATTGTTTGCTGTATTAAATTACTGAATGATCAGAATTTTGTTTACATTGAATTTGATTCGCATTTGCATGCACTTCTTTTTCTTGTGCACTTTTCTGTCACATCGTCGGAATTCAAAGCTCAAATGCTCTCGCACACCAAACCCCACGTGTTGATGCATTTATAGAACATGAACACCAATCAACAATTCCACCAATAAGTAAACGTCTCTTAACCTCTCACAACTCGAATTCAGACTCACTCTCAAAACAATATCTAATCAACACAATGCATTTCACTTATCCGCATATCACGTGAGCGTGATTTCAATGGCTGCTTCAAAATCCTTACTTCTTTACTAACTGTTCTGTAGTTTCATCGATTTTTAATCCTTAAATTTTGAACTTAACAAATTTTTAGAATCGTACCCACACTCTTCAAACAAGAATACAGTTTGGGAACTGCTGCATGCGTAAAGCACTTTCCATGGGTCAGACAATCTCCTCTGATGTGAATATTCCAATTTGAAAAGTCCGTAAAATTTCCTCAAACTCCTATGTGGTTGCATATTCGTCCCAAACTTCACCACTTTACAAATGCCGCCCTACAGTGTCAGCCACAAATGTTCATGGATGAATTCCAGTGAATCAATCTAAAGCAAAACACGAAATGATGCGTCAACTGTGAAATAAACTCAAGTAGACAGCAACAACAACGAATGCAGTATAAATTATATTCATCATCGCCACAAAAAACATACCAATTCAACGATATCAGCAATAGGAACAATATCATAAACTACATTCAGTTAATAGCATGAAATGATAATAATAATATTAATAATGACATTATACCAGTGACGCCGATCATAATCGCCATAGAATCAGTAACAATAACAACATTTGAAAACAACGTTAATAATCATTTCACTCAACCAATGATCATTACAACCATCACTACAATAATAACAACGCATTAAAAATACATCAATAACAATTTATCATACGAACAGCAACAGTCGTCATAACCACGATACTGATCATAATTATCATATCAGTGACATCACTACGACAACAGTCACGACAACCGAAATAATGCGAAATCATCATCCTTCAACCAGTGTAATCATTATGATCAAATAAAATCTGGTCGTAACTCTGTGCTGAGATCTCTTTACCGGCGAAATAACGTTTGTCGAGCGCTTGTCTTGCCACTTCAGCCTCTTGAATATCATCGAAACGGACAAATATTTTGACGGTTTTATTGACTGGATCTTGGGCGATTATCACCTTCAAATAACAGTGTGCTCATTAGCCACAACTTGACTTGTTCTTAATAATCCATCAGGTGAACCACCGACAATATTACTGCCTAACTATTTTCTAATTTGATCACAATCCGGAAATTACCAACTCATCACAAGATAATAATCTCTTTGCAAGTTTCCATAGAATAAAACTCCAGAGCACTAACCTCTTGGACCTTGCCATATTTCATGCATTCGTCTCTGATTTCTCCCTCGAGCTCATCGTCACACTCCTCGATTGTTACCATATTCTTGAGAACGATCACTGTCGAGCGGTTCGTTCTCATCAACTTATGCATCAGCAAATGTCGAGCGTCGTTACCTGTAACATCCTCATAGTTTCATTATCCTCTATTCTCATTCAACAGCTGACATGAACTCGCTGATGAATAATGCCGATGCTCATCAAATATAAACCAGTCACCGTCATCCCAACTTCTCCCGTCCACTCCTTTCTTGAATCAATATTTCCAAACAACTTGCAGAATACTGACCACAGCAACAAATGAGAACATCATCAAAACTCTTTGAACTCAATAATACATCAAACAGATGTTATTCAATGAAACTGACTGTAAAAATAAAAGAAACCAATAAACACACCTCTAATCTCAAGACCTTCTTGTGATGCCAACGAAACATCCTCAGAATTCGCGTTCTTCGCCTCCATTAAATGATCGCTCAATTCGCCAGCTCTATTTGCTGCTTCCAACGCTTGAGGAGTGTTCAACTGAAATTGATTACAAAACAAAATTAGTAACACAACTGCATTCATTCGCTTTCCCAACACAGAACAATGACCTCGCATCCAAAAAACGACTGCGAAAGACAGACCTGCGGTCCTTGAGGCTTATTGGAAGTTGGTTTCTTGTTTTTCTTCTTTCTGTATTGCGTGCTGCGATCGTCCTTCGACCTGTCCTTTGAGGAATCCTTTGAAGTGGTCTGAACTTGCTTCCTTCCGGGTATCGAGCTGTCCGCTAAGGCCAACGCCATCGAATCGCCTTCACGAATGTTATTGCCTCCAGTGATTGCCAGTTGATCGGATGACGACGATTCACTAGTTGAACTAAAAGTGCATAATGAAAACAATTTTACATTCAAATGTGAATTCAACGTCAATCAAAACGAAATCTTCAGCAATTCAAACAACAACAACAACACATAATCCAAAGCGTACGCTGCTCGATCCACTGGTGCTATGTTCGCAGGTAAAGGCGCAAATTTGGCCGGTTCCACTGAGCAATTTTTGGTGGCGGTACCGATTTTGATTCGTGATATCAACGACGGTGACGAGACAACTGACGGCGGGGGCGGTGGAGGTATCGACGAAACCTCCTGAAATATACTACTCGTTGACCAATGCGAACTAAATCTACACGCTGCACGCTCAACTATAAGCAAAACAAACGCTCATTAATGTCATCTGCATAATCAAAACTAAAACCGTTTGTGCATTAGTGGTGGTGACGGGTGTCGGTATGGCGCTGAGTTGCGCTGATTGAACAGGTGCGGGTGTGGCGATCACTTGCGGTGGTGGAATGTTGACCATTTGTACGGGTGGCGCTTGCGTGGCGAACCCTCCAAAGCCACGTCGTCCAGTAGACTGCTGACTTGCTCCTGACGAGGTCGTCACACCGACTGGCGGTGGCGTGGCCGCAGGAATCGGTATTTGTGACGGGGCCGGAACTGATGACGGCAGTGGAGGTGGCGTTCCGGCTGGCAGTGGGTATTGAACCACCTGAAATAGGAGCGGGCAATGTGATACACGCACCTTCAATGATGAATAACTTAACAACTCGTACGTACGGAACATATAAAAAAATTGGTAATGAGCAGAAAAGCAAAAATCTTACTTGTGGTGGCGTAGATGGATAACCTGCCGAAACGAACTGCGGAGATGACGGTGTCTGAGCGGATGCTGCTGGGACTGGTGAACTGCTACCTGGCGAACGATACGATGCTATCGATTGAGGTAGATTCGTAGCCATTCCAACGGCCGGAATCGAACCCAGCACACCTACGGATGGAACATTGGCCATACCTATGGATGGAATACCACCTGGCATGCCAGATGGTGATCCAGAGATCTGAATTCAGAAAATAAGTTCATCTCCGTGCCCACAAAAACAACTGTCTTCAGTGTTAACCAGCTCCATTTCCCCATCCATCAAGCAGAACCACTGCTCAATTAATGTTATGCCAAGTTAAACAAACAATCGATCAGTTAATCTCTGTTAACCGAATACAAACCTTTGATGCGGATGCAACTTTATGAAGTGGGGAATGTCCAGCAGCCACTTCTTGTGCCTGGATTTTGGCCGTAACTTCGGCAGCAGCCACAGCGGCTGCAGTCGGGAGGTTGATCGACGAGGTGGGCACGATGTAGGTGAGTGCATCCGGTGGTGTTATACACCGACCGACCCGTAAATACTGCCCACCCAAATCGAACATATTCATGCCCGCAATCGCTTCGGCTGCTGATGATGCGTTACTGAATTCCAAGTAACCGAAACCACTGAAACAGGGAAACGATATCAACGAAACTATTCAGGTAGATCTTTTCATTGTCCTCATTAAAGCAATTCAACTCACCGATGTCCACTGCCTGCATTTGGTCCAGTCGCTCTTGCCAGCTGACATTTGGTAACTTCACCGAATGCCTCGAATACACTCTTCAAGTCGGATTCCGATAAATCCGGATGAACTGACGACACGTAGACTCTACAAAGATCCATTTGATGCGCTCCATCGACAAAATTTGCGATAGCAAATGAAGAGACAAAATTCACAGCACCAATTAACACCGAAATGAATTTTCACAGCACCAATTAACACCGAAATGAATTTTAGCAAACTCCACGAAAAATTACTCGTTGCAAATAAAACGTTGAAAGAACACACCTGTGATAGGCTTTAGCCTCTTGCATGACCATTTCGATAATCGGTTGTGCTTGTGGCATGTTCGACGGACGCCCGACCTCAAAGTTTAAATGAGTGTGTAATACTAAACCCGCTAAGGACCTATCCCATCCCCTCTATCCTATCTACTAGTTATATTCTCCACCGTTGTCACCTCACGGCTAGAAGTAATACCCAAGTCATCAGGTAGCATTCACATACACTTCCCCACCGCAGTGCAGAAACCGAAAGGATTCGTTTGAATCTTATTTATCAACCAATCCATCCACCAAAGAGATTATGAAAATTGAAACTATATCAAACGGAGCAGGGAAGACAGACTAATGCTGTACTATGTCAACTTAGAATCGTGTGACAAAATCATCTTGAAACGACATGCGTTGATAAACACTTCAGTATGTTAAAAACGCAAATAGTTTCGAGAATCCGCCCCAGTGAGATTCAAATATTCCTAATATGGAATAAAACTTAAAACCCTTCTAAGGTTACTGGTGAAGGACTCTCAGTTGGAAAATGAGCATTCGGCATGATGATCACAACAGAAATATCAACACAATAACAACTGTGAACGACAACAACAATAATAAAAATAAGAAGAAATATGAAAAAATGATGATGTTAAAAACTGACTAGAACATTAACCTTCAGATTGCGACCGCCCATCAATAAACCGTTCATGGATTCCTGTGCCAGTAAGGCCGCCTCAGGAACTTCATATTCCAAAAATGCAAAACCCTTGTGATGCTAAAACAACCAACGTTCAGTTGGACACCCTTCTAAGGTTTCTGATGAAGGGTGTTAAGTTTTACTCCGTAAAAATTTTAACACCGTAAACAAAAGTTCACATAAAACATTACCAAACAAATTACCGACTGAGAACTAATCGGTCGTCACTTATGAAAAATTCAACGAAATACCCAAAGAAATATAACCTAATTAAGATCGCCTATAACCTTTATAATCAACTAATAAACTTATTGCTTTAAGGTATGTTGCTGAGTAGGCTGGATGAAACCAAGCAGTGATAACAACCCACTGATACACTCACCCCTGTAACAGCATCCCAACTCATATTGATTGACTTGATTGGACCAAAAACACTGAATGAATTTTTGATCATTTCCTCACGAACTTCAAAACTGATTGAGCCAATATAGACACGAGCCATCAGTGACAGTGCTTGTGCATACATGGCCACTTTCTGTTGCTGAAATCAAGCAATCGTTCATGATGGTAACAAAACAAAATTACCGCAACTAATCATAACATACTCTCAATATCAATCCTAACAAACATTCCCGTTAATCATTTGAACACTCAATTTTGAATGACTTCCTCTAAATGCACACAATACCAAAATCTCCACAAAATTCGAATCAGATGAATATCACACAAAGGAACATACGTTCTGTTGATGTGCCACGGTCTGTCTGAGAAGAACCTGTTTTATGGATTGCTCCTTCGCGTACTTTTTCGCGTCCGATAACCAATCTTTCTGTTTACTCCGCAGTTTCACCAGACCAAGACCCAGCAGTTGGGCTTCTTTCCTAGCACCTGGCCCCACGACTATCTGAAAGTAACATCACCATTAGGCACTCACTTTCGACCGATGATTTCATCAACACATCAATTACAAACAAACACCAAAAGTCTCCGTCAAAACCATTCTACAATGAGAAACAAGTTAATCTCGCCGATTCAACATCAAACGAAGATGGGTAATCGACAGATTTCGAGATCAGTTTGCCAACATAACAACTTACATTTCCAGTTTGAGGTAGGACGGGCATCGCGACCAGGGCTTCGCTCGGGAAATGCATGGCGGCTGCATATGATGGCAAAGTAGCACTGGATGTGCTATTTGCATTCACCGTCTCACTTGTACTAACACCTGAATGCTCACCCGTATAACTCAACGAATCCGTTGTAAACAACGAAATTATTTCCAATGAATATGCACTCAAATTCATACTTATACTTAGTCATTAATTTGCATTGAAACTGTACTGCTCATCACACTAAATCAAACAACAACAACAACAACTAACCACTCCATCTTCTTTATATTTTCATTAATCGAATAATTCTGCATCTGAGCAGTAAATGAAGTGAACGCGTAAAATAACTACCAAAATAAATGAATAACTGACAGAACAATCGCAATCACGAAACTGATATTCAAGCAAATGAGGGTAAAAGAGTGCTGATGATAACCAAAATGCAAACAAACCGTTCTGAGCGGGTACTGTGGACGTCGGATTAGGCGTTGTTGATGAAGTAACAGGTTCATTTTGGACGGAAGGTGGAGGGATCGCAGCAACTGGAACCTCTACATCCATAATAATTCTGAAACGATGTGCTAAAATATTAATCAAAGTAACCTAAGAAGTGGATAAATATTCATATCATTGCTTGGATAACTGGATTGCTCAATCGATAAACTGGGTTAATGCAAGTTCTACACTCGAATTCTAGAGTCTCTTTTCACAGCGTACACTCAGGCATATACGTTCAGAAAAGGATGTCAATGAGAACAATTAAAGACCAGGAAAATCTTCAGATGTGCTGGAAAAAACGGTAAAAATTTCCAAAAGGATATATGGAAGCCATGATGCTTCATTCACGAAGCCACCGCGACGCGTCTATAAGATTACGAAACTCTCTGCCAAAAGAAAAAATGACTTACCGCCACAAAGATGCAAGGTCGCCAAATAAAAATTCTCCAGAAATACGCATGGAAATATTTGGAAACCAATCAAGAGAACAATTTTGAACACCTTCTAGTT